AAGTTTAGTCTACTCTACTATTTATATAACCAGGAGACGAGGGCCGGTGAAGAGATGGATTCTCAAAGACATTTGTAGGAAGTAGCCTGGAATTTGAATTTGGCTCGCCGTTTCCAACTTCTGCTCCGGTATCCGTCACACTACCCGCACATCTCCATCTCATATACGAGTCAATAAAAATACAAGGACGTGATGGATGACTTAAGAAAATAGATGAACTAATGGACTAAATTCTAGCATTTCGACTCTCTCTCCCCATATGTATAATATATTTTCTGTTTATACGTTATATTTATAGATACAATTATGTAAGTAAATTCTCTGTTCATAATAAAGATTATTGATTACATTTACCCTCCTGAATGTCCGAAAAATTTCGTAGAAAATGTGTGTCTTCCAACAGGAATCGAACCTGTATTCTTTGCTTACCAGACGTTTCCGCTGTAGCTAAATAGTATAGCACATCAGATCAAATGATGGTTCCGTGTAGGACACAGGTTCGATTCCTGTCGGAGGAAACATATTTTCTACGAAACTTCTCGGAAAATTCAGGCCGGTTAATGTAATTAATACTGTTTGTTATAAACAGAGCATTTGCTCAAATAATTGTATCTATAAAAATAACGTATAAACAGAAAATATATTAAATAATTGTCTGACTTAGTCCATTTCATAATATATATATATATATATATATATATATATATAGAGAGAGAGAGAGAGAGAGAGGGAGATTCTTTCTTTCGCTATTTCAGGAAAACTCATACGGAAAAAGGAATATCTGCTGATACGCACATACCTAGACAAAGGTTGTCCAGCAGCAAATTATGCTAATGGACATTAACCGACTTGGAGAAAAATCCTTTATAATGTGACTGCACTTTTGTCAGCTCGAAACACGTAACAACTATTTTATCCATTTACACTGATGAAAGAGAATTGCTAGAAAACAGGCTGTTACGCATTGTCTCCCCCCCTCTACGACACATACACTACGCCTATTCATTTACACACTTAAGGGTTCATTCCCTTCTTGAACAAGAGTTCTAGGCTCAATTGACGAAACCTGACTATAAGTCTTGTTTATGGTAGAATTACGAGAGTTTTTTTTTTTTTTTTGCTTTTATTGTAGATTACAATGCCCCAAGTTGACCTCTGGAGTGGGCAAAGTAGAAGAGTAATATTCTGGCTGTAGGAGTTTGGGCGGCCCCTTTTGTAGGTGAGATGATAGCAGGTGATAGCCTAATAAAATAAGTGTAATATGAGAAAGGATGTCTGCAGGGTATAAGGTAAATGGAAAGAGAAACGACTGTAAGGTGCTGGGCGTAGAGGGGATGTTTCTGGCAGGGGTGGTAACCAGGATCAGGTGTGAAGGACTATTCCTTCACTCTCTTTATATTTTATTTATTAGCAACTGATACAGGTACGATGGCATTCAAATCGGGCTTGTTTATCGATTTGACCAGGAATTTTTTGTGGAATCCGAACGTAAACTATTTTCAGGTTTGTTTTCGTCGACATTTTAGCTATCTTACCCTCTTACTGGTAGTCAGTTTTTTCTTTTTTTTTTTTTTTTTACATATCCCTTTAGTTTTCATTTCTGGTCTTTGTAAATGGCTCTACTGTTAACCGTTTCATTTTCATTACTTGTGTTCATTTTTGTCTTTCCGCTCTTTTCCTTCTCGTTGTATCTTGACTACAGTTTTTAAGAGACAGATACATATTCTTTTCATAGTCAGTATTGATATAAAAATAAATATTGGACAAACTCTTATAGATGTTGATATGCCAGAGAAAAAAAACATGCTAATCTTACAATTATTCTCTCCCTTTTCTTTGTTCACACCTGAAACGTGAATCTTTCTCTCACTATATTTCTTATTCTAATTGCTTTTCTCTCTCGAATTTGATTTACATTAATTAATTGTTATGGAGTGTGATTTTTTTTATCCTCCACCGTATGAATCCGAATACCTCGTCGCCAAGTGTTATGGAGTGGTTTCACAGTGGAGGCTTGTATTTGTACTAAGTCGGTCCTAAAAACGTTAGGAACTTGATATAATAGGTAATGACGCAGAGAAATCTAGTTGTGGTCGCTGATACTTTAGTATCCGACTAACGGCCGTCCGGCATCGACTGACTGACGATATTCAGTCCCCCACGAGGGGCGTCATGTGGCACAAGGCCTTTTTAACGTGGGATCTCCGGAGCCGTGGGCTCGGCCAAAATATGCCCATTGAACCCGTATAAACGGGTTCAGGGTCGGTTTACCTCCCCGAAAGAGAATCCGCCCTTCGGCGTAGCCTCCTTCGGGTTCCTCCCCGCCGAAAGGCAGAGAGTTCAACCGATCAGCCAGTCGACTAACTGACGATATTCAGTCACCCCCACGAGGGTGCGACCCACAAGGTCTTTTTTAACGTGGGCTTCACAAGCCATAGGCTTTGAACCCGTTAAACGGGTCCAGGGCCAGTTTTACCTCCCGGGAGACACCGCCCTCTCCTTCGGTTCCTCCCGCCCGTAGGAAGAGAGTTTAACCGAACAGTCGCTCATAGAATACGATATTCAGTCACCCCCACGAGGGTGTTCCACTATTTTAACTAATTCCCAAGCCATTAGGCTCGGCAATTGGTTGAACCCGTATTTTTCAGGCCAAACAAAAATTGTTCAAAACATTCTCTGAAATTCAATTGTTATTAATAGAGTCTCTATAGAATTGTGTTCCAAAAGGTTGATATTTTCATTTTCCTTTTTCATTTGAAATAGCCTCGTTGCAAAAGCATTTTTCTTTTATTTGAAGGTTACTATAGAATTTTTCGATTGGCTCTTCGTTGGTGGAAAGGACACAAATATTAAGAAAAAACTGTGGGTTATGAGATACTTGGCAAGAAATTGATGAGCATAATTTTTTTTATCATTTCATCCCAAGCAGTGAAGCCACTAAGGCACAATGTGTTACTGAGTGTGAAAGAATATGAGAGAAAAAAAACAACATTAAAAAGGGAATATTAAAAAACAAAAATTAATGACATAGAAGATGACGACTGACATTGAATTTAACCTTTTGAAGATCAAAGTTGAATGGAAAGTAAAAAGTCAGAAGAGATTTTCACAAGCGAGAAGTGCGAGAGAATAAACTGTTAACATAGAACTTATAGTTCCATCTAGCAATTTCGACTGTAAAAAGATAAGACTTAACCACCAATCTCGTACTACCCTTAAATTCATCATGTCGAAGTACCAAAGAAGAAAGATAATCAGAACAATTAGGATGAAAATATTTATAGAAAAGGCACAGGGAAGCTATGTTACGGCGGCGGGAAAGTAACTGAAGCCGAGATGCCAGGTCACGACCGATAACATTACAGATTGTTCTTCTGATTTTGTCAAGAATCTCTAAATATACAGCAGAAGCACCAGCCCAAAAGAACAGTCTAATAATAATAATAATAATAATATTGGAACTTCAGTTCACTTTACAGTTTATCTTTTTTTCGTCATATCGTCTGTAGTCTTTATAATTTGCTTGAAAAAAATGACGTCTCTTTCATAGTGTTCTGAATATGTTACGAATGATATGATCTATCTTACATGGGTTTCTAAAAGTTTTTTTATTCAAATCCATTAACAAAGAAATTTGTATGATACCACAAAACTATCTTTAATAAAAACAAAACAAAAACAGGCAGAGATAGCAACCCAAGCACGTGTAACCACTAAAAATAACGTTTATAGTAATAAGAATATATATATACATATATATATATAATGGCGTACAGTGAGTGTTAATAAAACAGTGCTCAATGTAAAATAACAGAGCTAAAATTCATATTAAAAAATGATATATTTGTTCCTCAACCTATATATTGATAGAAATATCTGAACAGAGGAAGAAAACAGATTACAGTTCATGTTTGAAGATTTCGATAGATTTTTAATTTTTTAAATTTTATTTTGAATGATCTTCAGTATCTGTCTATATTTCTGAGATGAGGTAATATCTACATTATTTACATTATTAGGACTATTGTCCTCATCTTTGTCGACATATTTATTACAACGCTCCGGCCTTCTTCAGATGGTTGGAATGATAACAGCAAAAATTGCAATATGAGCACTGGTAAAAATGGTTGCTGAGACATTAGGTTTATAATACCCAGAAACTCATACACAGATGTCCTCAACGACAGTGGATAAAGGTGTTGGTTAGATCCAGTGACAGGAACCAAAGAGTGTGAGTTCAATACCCGGCTAAGGCAGTGGAGAACTTTCAGAGGGAAATTAACAGGAAACTGATAACTGACACCCATTAAAACACGGCACGTGGAACTAGAACAGTCTACCCCAGTGAGCGAAATAAAGGGTTCAGTTCGACATTACAACCACCCGAAGAAGGCCGGAGCGTACAACGGCCGAACCGTTGTAATAAATATGGCGACAAAGATGAGGACAATAGTCCGAATAATTGAATGATCTTGTTGACGATCACAGTTCAAACCCAGCTGTAGATTGCCCTAGATTTTCTAAATGAGCGTCTCTCTTTTTCTGGATCTGTAATATGAATTGTGTCTCTATGGCTACAACGTAAGTAGAAAGATAGGTCAGATATTCTTTATTAGATTTTATGTCATTTATTTTACACTGAACCATCTTTTATAATATCGAGAAAACAACCCTCCCCACCACTTATCATTCCTGTATTTCTGTGACAAATCGGAAGATATGAAGAAAGTGGACGTTGTGGATGGGGAATGAAAAGGAATTGACGTCTCCTCCGCATGTCGCTATTGTCTTTCATCATTGAAAACTTTTCGCCTCTGTTTCATTCTTTAAAAAATGCTAGCATATTTTGGGATATGATTATATGAATCATTGCTCAGGAGAAAAACTGGCAGAAAAGGAAAAGGTCACAACTGAATTGGCTTTTGAAAGCAAGAAGAATCCGTTGGCTGTCACAATTGGTCAAGCTCCTTTGTATATGTTTTTGTCTCTCCCTCTCATGCATGCTTTCTTTTAGTCTTTTCTCTTTCACTTCCTATCTTTGTCTATATAATAAACACGCAAGTAATTTTCGCTTTTTACTTCTTTTTTTTCTCACCATTTTTTCCCGTTTGTCTTTTTTCTTCTCTCTTTCAAATCTTCTCTTTTTATTTTTTTACCCTATCCTCTTTCTGTTCTCATCCTTTCCCTTTCCCTTACCCGCCTTTTTGTCCTCACTTCCTCTTCTTTTTTATTTCTCTTTTTTTCATCTTTATTCATTGTTTCTCTTTCTCGTCCTTTTCCATTGTCTTTCTCTTTTCGTCCTTAGTCCTTGTCTCTCTCTTTCTCGTCATTTTTTGCGTTCTCTCTCCTTTTCTTGTCATTTCTGAATTTTCTCTCTCTTTCTCGTCGTGTTTGCAATCTCTCTCTCTCTTTTTCACGTCGTGTGTGCAATCTCTCTCTCTCTCTTTCTCGTCATGTTTGCAATCTCTCTCTCTCTCTCTTTCTCGTCATGTTTGCAATCTCTCTTTCGTTGTGTTTGCAATCTCTCTTCTCTCTTTTTCTCGTTTTTTGCAATCTCTCTCTCTCTCTTTCTCGTCGTGTTTGCAATCTCTCTCTCTCTCTTTCTCGTCGTGTTTGCAATCTCTCTCTCTCTCTTTCTCGTCGTGTTTGCAATCTCTCTCTCTCTCGTTGTGTTTGCAATCTCTCTCTCTCTCTTTCTCGTCGTGTTTGCAATCTCTCTCTCTCTCTCGCTTTCTCGTCGTGTTTGCAATCTCTCTCTCTCTCTCTCTTTCTCGTCGTGTTTGCAATCTCTCTCTCTCTCTCTTTCTAGTCGTGGTTGCAATCTCTCTATCTTTCTCGTCCTTTTTGCATTCTCTCTCTCTCTTTCTCTCTCTCCCTTGTACATTCTATCTCTCTCAATTTATCTTTTATCTTTCTTTCTCTCTCTCTCCTCCTCCTCTTCTGGCTTTGCCTTTCTCTCTCCTTCTTTCTCCTCGTTTCGCTTTGCCTTTCTTTGCACCGATCTACTACAACATATGTTTAATCTCGTTGCTTTACTATTCTTCTATTCATCTCTCTCTCTCTCTCTCTCTCTCATTTTACCGTTCCCTCTGCTGTCAACCTTTCTACATTTCTCCTCGTATTTCATACACTGATTTTTCCTTCCTTTTTCTATTGGCTGCGTACGGAATACCTTTTAATTCAAACATTCCCATAATTGTATATTGAAGTTGAGAGGTGGAAAATGGTGGCTTCTGAATTATGTCGCATTATTTAAATGTCGCACAACAAGCACAAAAATGAATAAGACAAACTTATTACATCTACTATTTTGTCTCATCCAACTTGAATGTATTTACAAAGAATATTTGTACCTTTCTTTTACATGTCTTCATAGAAACATTTTTCTTTTTCTTTCCTTTTCTTTTACCGGTGTCTAGATGACAGATCTTCAGATGTGCCTCTAAATCTTCCTGTCACATGATTGTCATCCTACAATTATACTTTTCACTTTTGATTAAGGGAATTTTCCCGCCTTTTATACATTCTTGATTTCAACTGCCAGGGTTCTATAGATTTCCAGAAAATATTTGCCATTTTCTTTTTATTACGCCCGTCTGCCTTAATCACGTCCTCATTCTTTGCCCCATTTCTTTTTCTTTCTTTCAAATACTTATTCTAATTTACTTTCTCGATTGTCTTTCTTTCTCTTTCACATTTTCTTACCTTACTCTGTTGTTCTATATCATTCTTCTCTCCTACGTTTACTCTCTCTTGTCCGTTCTCTCTGTCTCACAGTTCTTGATCTCTTTCTGTTTTTTTCCGTTCTCTTTCTCTCTCTCTCTGTTTGTCCGTCCGTTTTCTCTCTGTTTGTCCGTTTCTCTCTCTCTCTCTCTGCTTGTTTGTCTGCTATCTCTCTCTCTCTGTTTATCTGTTCTCGCTTCCTGTTTATTTGGCCGGCCTCTCTCTTTATCTTTGTTTGTCTGTTCTGTCTCTCTGTTTATCCGTTCTCTCTGCTTCCTGTAGCTTTCACTTTCACTCTCTAACATTTGTTCTTCCTCTCTGTCTTTTTCTTTCATTTTGCTGTCACTTTCTCTCTGTGTCCCATTTTGCTTTCTCACTTTTTCTATCTGTTAAATGTCGCTTTCTCTCTCTGCCTTCCCTCCTCCCTCTCCTCCCACCTCCCTTTTCTGCTTTTATTCCTTTTTCTTTAAATCGTTGTCTCATGATGTATTTTCTTTCTAGTTCCTTTGTGATTTTCTTTTATTTTAATATTACTTTCATATTTATTCTTTTCTTTCTTTTGCCTTATGTCTCTCCAAATTACCATTATCTGTCCTTTCTTCGTTCTTCGTGTTACTATTTTTCTATTTGTTTTTCTTCCATTCTTTTTCTCTTCCTTGTTTTATTTCCTCGTTTTTATGCCAAGGGTTCCATCTTTTCAAAACTTCCTTTCTCCGTATTGTCATTCTTTCGCTATCAACCTAACCCCAACCATCTTCATCCACATCATCCATCAACGGTAATCGTTATCCACTAACCATTTTCAGGAACCATATTGAAATTATCTAAAATTTAATATTTGAGTAACGGACCCACACATCATTTCTGCGTCCACACTCTAATAACCTTAATTGACATATATTTTTCTTGGTTTCCAACCTCCTTGTCAATATGGCCTAACAGGTGGCTAATAAAGCTAGTCCTTTCTTCATCTCAGACAGCTTACAAATCAAGTTAAAGTTGTTTCGATTTAATTAGTCTTCAAGCAGTCATTTCATTTTTCACCCAACTCCGTAAATTTGAAAAAATCTAATAAAGTGGAATCGGATAATTGTTTGATTATAGCAAAGTCCACTAGAAGGAACATTTTTTTCTTGTTTAGGAAGAAAAAAATGCTCATTAGATGCAAAAAAGGGAGATTTTTTTTTTCTAATCAGCATTTCCAGAAGTTAATGTGATTGTCAGTTGAAGCGAGCAGGTAAAAAAATATAGAAATTCGAAAGTCTCTTTTTTTTTTTTTTTTCCTATCTGGTAATTCAAAAACATAAAGCGTGTACGTAAAAGTAACTCTAATAATATTAATATAATCAATCACCGTTTTATACCAAACAGTCTTGATTTAAGTACCTGTTTAAGTACCTACAGAATGTATAGTAATAGCAAAAGAAACGGACGTTTTAAAACAAGAAGTAAAAAAAAACGGTAAAAAATTACATTACCATAAAGTGGTAATATTCAAATACAAATACACAAAAAGAAAGCAGTTAAACCGGCTTATCGATCCTCTCTCATCGGAGCTCAATCGAGGACAAGAAATGTGCATGTTGCGGGCGGCTGTACACGCTTCCCAACTGATTTCGGGCGTTAGTAACGTTGGTGTTTAAAACTGGGAATAACACGCTGTCTCCTGAAATACCCACAACAAACATGACGGACTCGGGATGTGAGTCCACGTAAATAAATGAAAGGACACAACAAGAACCAATATATATGTACAAACAAATGATAATGTACTAACAACAAAGGTATACAAGCGACAAGACAATAATGTGTGTAACAAATGAATGTGGAAACCGTTTTGGTCGAAAGTATGTGTAGTGAGTGAATGTGCGTGCGTACGTGTGTGATGTGTATGTATTGTTCATACGTTTTCCAAAGGAGGTTACATGTTGACGAATAAAGTGAGAAGTGAGCGCTAAAAAATTATCGCAGGTTATTTATAGTCCGGAAAGCGTCACCTAGGAGCAGTTTCGAAAATTAGGAGGAGGTAACCCAACATGCACAGTTAAAATAAATATCAAATTTGATATTCTATGTAACAATTAATAATCTATAAACATTTAAACAAAAAATATAGAAATTTGAATTTTTCCCCCATTTGATAATTAAAAAAATCATATAAAATGTGTATTTAAAAGTAACTTCAATAATATGAATATAATCAGTCACTTTTAATAACAAGTAGTTTATGTTGATTCATATCAGTTATAGGCAAAGTGCGGCCCGTTTGGCTTTCTCAAAAGTACGCCTAATTTCGTGAGAAAAATAACTTTTATTAAAAGTTTTCTTTCGTCCTCACTTATTCACTCACACTTTCTCTCATACATAACCACATAAACAATGATTAAATAAAATGCTTCTTGACTTTGTAATTTTTCGTTGAAGGTAACGTTTTCGCCATAAATCATTGGCGATTTTTACTAAGGAAGATCATGCATGTAATAATCTTTTACTTCAGAAACAGGACATTTTTTATCATCTTTTTCTTTGGAGAAAAAATACATATTTTTTTTTTTATTTTAAAGATAATTTTTGTATTTTCGAATGAATAGATAAGAAACTCGCAGCAGTGTGTGTGTTAATCACGATTATTTGTGATGATAAAGCGAATTTTCGAGTTACTGAGAAATTTTTCTCCAAAAAACAACTTTTTTTTTCAAAGTCAGATTATTACGCGTATATTATTCTGTACTGGAAATGGCTGATGCATTTTCAATGAAAAATTAAGTTGAATCTTTTTAATAGTGAAGCCTGAGCCGTATCTGATGCGGCCCACTTGTCATAAAATGTTGCCCATGCACGATTTAAATATTTTTTCTGTTATCTGTGACTTGTGTTAAAATTATGTTTTTGTAGAATTCTTTAGGTTATGTGAGAAATTGAAAAATTAAACGGTCGATAGTTTCATCAAGAACAAATGCAAAAGTCATTTATACATTTTTGAAATAGGCATAGATTTGAGGTTGTAGAACGCTATTAAGGGTTCATTTTCAACTCTTACTCAAAGATTGATTATATAAATTATAATGATATATATATATATATATATATATATATATATATATATATATATATATATATATATATATATTATATAAATTATAATGATCACAGTTTAAGACTAAATTTGTGATTTACACTATTTATATTCGAACGGAAATACTAAATTTATCTTCTTTGATTTCAATTTTTTGAATAAAATCGCAAAATGCAAGAGTAGATGTAAGTAGATGTTTTATATTTTGATGTATTGATTTACATTATCGTTATAATCAATCACACACTTTTATCTTTTGACTTCATTTAATTCTATCGAAATAGCAAAACACGTTCTTTACGATCTCTACGGAGGTATTTGCGACCTATCGTAAATGACGATGCACTCTACCAAACAACCCACTTACGGCCTACAGCAATTAATTCCACAAATTACATACAGCGTTATGTTAAACTAAAGACTGGGTATTTATCTAGTTTGTATTCATAAAGGAAGCATTTATGTAATTCCGTTACAAAATAGACAAGAAAACGTCAGACAAAATAATTCTAGCCCATTTAGTTGATCACACCAGCACCATTCTGGCCAGAGACTTTTAGAAAATAATTTCAATTAAAGATGAAGTGGTGTCCTTTTTAAGAGTTAGGGTTATGGTTTTTAACATTTTTCATACTTCCAACAGTTGGTAAATATCACATCATAGCAGAAAATAAATAGTACATATGATACTTCTAATGACAAAAGTACACAAGTGTAGGCTTTAAGAAAACTTTATTCAACTGAGAAACAAGGTTCGCGTATAGTGTCCTTTTATGGCGCCAGTAAACAGAAATAGCTCTCTCAAAGAGGAGAGTAACAAAACAAGGGGATTCCACTCTTAATTATTCATAACAATACTATAGTAGAAAATGGATGGTAGATATCATACTATAGTAACGCTCTATATTCTTATATTAGCTTTTAGCATATTACAAAGCTTCTATTTAATTCCTGATCCTGGTTGGTTATACGATTCTGGGGTGTAAGGTTATTCAAACTATTTTCTTTCATTAGACAGGTGTTGTCTGAATGACGTATAAAGTCTAAATTTCTTTTCTTGTAAGATTAAAAATAGTATCTTCAGAGGTCGTTTATCCGCTTGAACCGGAAGTTGAAAGAAGAAAGAAACAGTTTCCCGTTTCATCTTTGTTTAGATAACAGGGAGTGGTCCCTGTATTCAGTGTCATCTTATAATACTCCCAGTGTTACCAAAAAATACCAATTATATATTAGGTAACCAAAACGCTGTTAATTTTTTTTTCTGAGTAGGTAGGGTGCTATTTCTTTATTGCCAAGATGTTTTTCTGATGTCTTGCCGATGCAGATGTACGACTTGAGTAAGTGTGTTGAAGTATTTGCCAAGTTTAAAGTAAATTATATTCAACACAAGTCCTCAGTATGTCACCACCAATAATTAACAACTATATTTTACAAGTTGCATCTTCGATTGACTCATTTCTAGTTAAAAACCTCCTAAGCCTCTTTTGAGCAATATAGTCACTATACTCACTTTCGCCAAACAAACAATAGCCTACGGGATGTTTCTGGTGCTTTTCTTTTCTTCTAAGTTTAAATTCGTTATATTTAAACATTTGGACCGCCATGTTGATTTCGCTTTTTTCGATTCTGAAGGGTATCTGATAGTAAATAATGGTCTTGGCTACTAAAAACTTTTTTTTTGTTTCCATTTCTTTCTCTATTTCTTTAAGAAAAAACACCTTGATTACAAGTATCAAACAGACATTTTTTAGCGGCCGTTTCTAAGATAAGTTATATTCACTAATCTCAACTCAGCATGACACAAAGTCAAACACAAGAGAATGGTATAGGAATACTATATATGTGATAATCTATTTGCTTTGAAAATCAGCATTCGAAATCCGATTTTTTACTTGAACTCGAACCTAGACCACTTATGCCAGAGGCAGATATGCAACTCGCATCCACCAAGAATCCTCTTTTTTTTTCTTTTTGGTCTTTTCTTAATAAATGTCGTTATTAAAATCGACCTGGGTATGACGATAATCTACCTCTGGTAACAAGGCCTGTCTGATCGGGAGGTTTTGGGGAGCTGTTGTTCCCACGTTCACCCTGAGCGGGGGTGGTAGCACCTGGTAGGGTCCCAGCTATGGGCAAATAGTTAATCCAAACTAGTGTCAAAACATTATGAAAGTATAAAAATACATTTTTATAGTAATAAAAATTACCATCAATACATTATTGGAAGAGGAAGAGAAAATTACCAGCAACACATTTTTGAAAAAAAAATACCAGAGCTCCCACAAAAATTAAATTTCTGCATTAAATGACCCATAAGCAGTTGATATGCCATTAACAAACCAAACCGCTATTAAGGACACGCAATACAGCTACAGAACATTAACTGAAGAAGACCAGGGATTAAAAATGTGTATGGCTAAGTTACCTTGCAAGTAGTATCTATAAGAATCTCTGTGAATTAATTACAGATATCGATCAATATCCCTTTTCCATTATATCCAAGAGGACATTAACCATCTTCTTAGACTTCATTAGAAACATAAAAAAAGTATGCAGTTAGCTGTAAGTGCTGTTTTTTTTATTGATTGTATTACATAAGGAAACGCTTTTCCCATAATCCTCTACTCTCGACTAAGCACTCTTTTGTTCAGATTATTAGGGCAATACATTTGTGACAGAGACAATATAACCACAGCTTTCCAGTTACCAGATCTATTGCGACTGAAAGCAAATTTTATTGTTTCACCAATATCCAACATTGTTCTGAAGGGCCATAAAATTCTCGGACGCGTATGGTCAAGAATTCATTTATGTGCGTGTGTCTTGAGAGGATTTGTGGGTATTTTCATTCGGACAAACGCCAATTTAGAGCTGGGGAAAGAGGTCCTTGATTCTTTTTGAGAGAAATACATGAACATTCCTCTGTCTCCCTCCTTACAATATATATATATATATATATATATATATATATATATATATATATATATATAGTGAGAGTTGTCTGTAAGGCATTTTGTAGATTGAAGTGCTTTGTCTTGATGGAAGTAAAGCTTCTGTAAAATCATTCTGTGGTATGTTTTTAATTTTTTTATTTTGTTTTGTTTTCCGTTGGGTAGACAGCAAAAAAGATGGAATGCGACACATTTAGAGTAGAGGGCGAAACATAAATTACTGGAAAACAAATCATCCATATCTAAAAAAAGATATTTTCTATTTTTCCTTTTCTCTAACCCTTTTTCTCTGTCCACCGTTCTCACACCGTCGTCTCTCTGCCCACCCTGCCCCATCGTTGTCGTCTCTCTGTACACCCGGCTCACTCATCGTCGTCTCTCTGTACACCCGGTTCCAAAATCCTCGTTGTATCTCGGTTCACCCAGCTCCATCGTCGTCGTCTATCTGTCCATCCCGCACCGTCGTCGTTGTTGTTCCGCTGTCCACCTCTCTCGTTGTAATCGTCTCTTTGTTTACCCTGACCCCTCATCGTTATCATCGTCTCTTTCGCGCGCTCCCTTGTCATCGTAGTTTCTCTCCCTGGCTCCCTCGTCATCGTTGTCGTCTCTCTCTCCCCTCCGTTCCCAACTTATTATATAAAAAAGTCAAAAGAACAAGAATTTATATCTAAAAGTCAAAAGAAAAAAATCTCTCTCTGTTATCTCCTTTCTTTACTTAAATTTACAAATTGTCCATTTGACTTTTAGTTTTAAATATTCATTCTTTGCATTTTTACTTAACGAAAAATGTTTGTACAGCTACTTCTGTTTTTCAGTATATTATCAAAATCACAAAATACATAAATTCTTTTCTTTTCTCTCGATCTCAAAGACCTCTTTATGAACTTTATCATTAAAAAATCTTATAACTTTTGACACATTCTTTTTTTTTCTTTGCCACTTCCTTCATTAGATTCCGTCAAGACTGTCACCATTAAAATAACAATCATAGAATTCTATTTCTTTTTTCCTTATTTCCTTATATTTTCCCTACAAGGCATAACATCTTCAAATGCTTCAAATATTTAACGATATTAGATATACTGAAATTATATCTAATATTTATTGATGTAACTTCAAATAACTAAATTGGGTAATTTAGCAAAATATGCCAAAAGAGGCAATACCAGTTTGGTTTGGAAGGAGTTAAAATGTAATTGAAAGAAATAAAAAAAATGTTAACAAAACGAATTATTGTTAGCTTGAGAAACGTGGTTAAAAAAAAAATAAGAACTCTTTCCTGAGAAGATTTGGTAATTTTTATATAAAAGGTTATTTTTTTTAATAAGGAATTTCAAAGTTAATCGATTAAGAACATTTTTCCAACCGTTTCTTTTAAAAAGATTTAACAGCATTTAAAAGCTAAAGCTTAGACATTTGAGAGCACGCAATTTGTCTATCAATTTCTAAAACGTAGTCAGGAAGCACACTTGTGAAATCTTATTTGTTTGCTTTGTTTTAAATCGGGGGTAACTTTTAAAGTTATCTAAAAAGAGTGTCCAGAGATTAAAAACTCAAAGTCTTAGACGTTCATGAATATTTGAAACCGCATTGCAAAAAATAAAAATAAATATAGACGTGTTTTTGTTTTTTTTTGTTTTTTAATAGATAGTTATTATAAAATATACATGCAGTACCTTTATAGCTGGAGATATTTCAATAAGACTACAACATTTATTGCATTGATTGCTATGTGAATTTTATTTTTAATTCAATATTGTTTCTTATTACGTTAAACGTTGTAACAGAGGATGGAAAGTGCGACATTGAGATCCGAAGACGCACTAGGATAGCCAAAAATGCATTCCAAAAGCTAAGCAGAGTATTATGAGACAGAAAAGAACTTTTTTTTGTTGTTGTTCTGGATAAGTTTACTAATCTTTCATTTTGCTGTTAATCTTCAAGCAGCAAATGATCACAGATCAGGAACAGGAAGTTGTTCCACATATGGAAAATTCTCCAAATGTATCACCAGCAGACAATTACTTTTTTTTTTTTCATTTCATACAAGATTCCTTGTCTGATCTGGGATACTTACAATTTCAAGACATCATAAAATTCCTCAAAGAATTCATTAAAAAATAGGGTCATTCTCTATGACAGAATATAGAGTTTAACTTAAATGTAAGATAAGGTAAAAGAAATCAAAGTAAATACACTAATGATTGAACAGTGACACTGTGAATTTATATGAATAAAAATTTTGCAAAAACAATTGCTGGAAACATGTAATATATTCAGGGAATTATTCGAACTGTATCCTCATCCTTAGAATAGTGCTGAAGATGCTCGACTTATAGGTTATTACTACTGCATTAAATATGAGTATCATTGAATGCTTTACATCTGTGACCTTGTACCAGACTTAATAAGAAAACAATAATGGTATCCTTTTTCTCAAGGAATTAGTGATTTGCTTTCAATATCGTAATTTTAAATTTTTATTAACGCCAATCAAAAATATCTTTAAAAACTGTTCCTTATCACTCATACTTGTCATCTTTGTCAAAAGTTTTAAAAAAAGTGGTCAGCCATGACTTTTCGCACATTTTATTTCCTTTGACAAACAGATAAAGCCCCTAAGTTCTTGATCAATCCTTCTGAACAACGATAAAAATTCCCATGTACACAATAGAGATCTTATTGTGAATGCGAGTCATTCACTTAAAATTTAGTGTTCATTATTTTTAAGTCTGAATTTTATTGGGACATTTTATGCATCTGTCCATCAGTGCATTCCTGAATTGGCAACGTTTCCGAGCAAGCAATAGCTTGATGTGTCTTGGAGAGAAGCTCAAAGAGTTAACTTCCTGCAAGCCAAAATCATCCTCTCATTATTTCCCAGACTCACTCAAGGCCAGTTCCATCTCCTTCCTCTGTTTCTGGGTATTTGTCTGTTTGGGTGCTCAAACTAATTCCTCTCCCCCAGTACCGTAATTTGAATCTTTTATTTTATTTTATTTTTTGACAGAACTGGTGATAAAATACATTTCAACATTTTTTCTAAATTATACGGATGGCAGCCAAGTAGTCATGTTGGTATTTTAATTTTTCACCGTGACTTTTATTTTAATTCATTTAGTTTTGTTTTTCTTTCTTAGTCAGAGGAAGATGCATTTCTTAAATTGATGCTGTCCAAATATTTTTTGTAAAACTTTATCTAAATTTTTCCCTATCAGTCTCTTTGTCACGTTTATCTTCCTCCCTCCAAACATGTCCAATGTAAGCATTCAAAATGAGGTGTATATGCGCAGGCAGGGTACAGAGTGAATACTTTCAAATATCTAGGGATTTGTTAACCTGCAAATACTTGTCACTTATTCAATTGAAGTGACCACAAAAGAATGAAAGTGTAGTGACCAAGAACAGAGAAATGGTTAAAAAAAAGAACAATTAGTTCATCTGTATTATTAGTAAATAAATAATAATAATAATAAATATTATTATTTAGTTTGGCACAAGACTACTATGTGTGGAAATCCCACTGAAAAGCAAGTTTATAACAAAATGATCAACTCAGCCAGTTCACTTCATGGCAGGTCACTCAGAGTCTTTGTTTCAAAAATTGTTTCTTTTGCTTGTGTGGGTGAAGGTTGGTAACAGTTACCATGACTTTCTTGCAGAAAAGAATAGTTGTGTGTGTAGTTGTTGTTATAATCAATGTGGTGTAAGGGTTAGCATGCATATCTTGCTAGATCAATTACGACTGAATCGTGAGTTTGATCCTCACTAGGTGCTCTATACTTTTGACCTTGTGCCACATCTAAGCTGTGCTTAAAAAATCGCTATAACATTGTTAATCTCTGCCAGGTTTGCCAAAAGGGCCAACATTTGAAAAAGCAGTGTTGCTAAATTATGAATTGACTTTTTCCCATTAGCATCGCACAGGTGAGCACAGCTTATCTGAAAAGTCACCCTAAAAGTCACTAGTAGCAAAATTCAAAATCTAACTGCACTCGTCCAAACTGAAAACTCTGCTTACAAATCAATTTTCTAGGTTAGAGAAATATTCGGAATCTTTTATAGTAAACGGTGGAAGATGTGTTTATAATTTGGTTATAAAACCAAAATGATCCCCCATTTATTCATTACTCGAATATTGATGATATCAAACCAGAGTTGCTAGATCAACACTATGTAAAATTTGAATTTACTTACTTACCATCAGCAGGAAGGTTTGGTGGAGTAATGGATAGTGGCTCATTTTTAGAAATCAGAGAGCCGAGTTCGGATTCCACTTAAATCCATTACATTTACTTACGTGCTAATACCCTTGGGAAAGGTATGAATCCTCGTCTCCCCCTACCCCATCTATAGGTATATAACAGAACAGACCGGGTTCTATAGCCTTGGATGGCAACTGGTCTACTGCAAAAAGAAATGGCAACCTACTGTGGGAAAGAAGTCTGCCTCATCAGTCATGCATTAAAAGATACATGATCGTCTAAGCCTATATCACACATGGCACATAACTGACTGACCATCAGTAGTCAAGGTTACACAAGTTTGTTAAGTAGATTAATCACTGTTTCCCTCTGTAATAATTGTAAATTTTATGTGAATCAACTTTGAATTTGCTTTATACAATTGTTGAAACTGAAGGAAAATATATTTTTAGTTGTGTGCAAAAGTTCATGGTACCTTCTTTTCTGAAAACTACAGATTGAAAACATTAGAAAAATGTTTCTTTTAATGAACTGAATAATAGAAACTTGAACACACATTTAAAAATTTGAAAGAAAAATGGAATAAATGATGAGATTAAGAATAAAATAGAGGAATAATAGAATAATAAAAGACAAGAAGTTGTGGAGAGCCATGATCACCCACATAAAAGAAATACATTGGTCAGAAAAGTGTGTTTTATAGAAATTCCTGGTATTCAGAAAGTTGGAATGACTTGATAAAAGTTAATGGTTGTGCTTGAGAAATTTTGTGAAAAAATTAATCTGGATAAAAGAATGGAAAGAAAGTTTAGTTTGGGTTTTAATGGTCTAGGCTGGAAAACTGGGTTGTAAATGAGATAAAGTTATTTTCCCTACAAAAGATGTTTTGATATCAGTGAGATCATCAATCAACAAAGGTAAATTCATTTGATTTTCTTTTTTTAGAAAAGCATCCTAAGAGATATTTATTATTTATGGCATCCAGACTTCTTTAAAATAAATTGGTAAAATAAAATTGTCTTCTTTCACTTACAATATCTAACAGCAGGCTCTCTTATAAATGCCTCTTTATACGCATGAGTTCAATTTTCTGAATTTAGCAGGAAATTCCCAGCTGAGCAACAGAAATTCACAGAAGGGCAGAATATAAAATTACAAGGAATTAATCAATGTTTTGTTTCAAGAAAAATAAATTCAAATGGGATTCATTCATGGAAATTCTTTCAATCAATTGAAATGTAATCATTTGCTTTAAAAGTAATAAAAAATGATCTCAGTAAGAGCTTATGGAAAAATATGACAAAATGATTGGACAATAATATTGTATATTGTTGAAGATCAACATCAAAATTTATACTGTTTTGTCTTTGCTTTTTAAATATTTTATTTTTGTTCATTTTTCTCTTTTTTTTCATTCATTTTAAAAAATGTTTCTTTTTATTATTTTTGTTTTATGCTAAAAATTT